GGGAAGGTGGTAAGTTATATGTATAATGAGCTGGCACAATGTGCAAGGTGAGATGATATGTAAATAGAAATATGGGTTTGGGAGAGATGTAAATAGTTGCAACAGATTTAAAAATTCTTCTCTGATAGCCAAGGAAGAAATAAAATTTCTTTTTTTTAAATTAGGAGTGAAAGTACAGCAAGAACAGAAGTACAGTTCACCCTTGAACAGCTCAGGTTTGAACTGCATGGGTCCACTTATATGTGGGCTTTTTTTTTTTTCCAATAAATATACTGAAAAAATTTTGGAGATTTGCAACAATTTGAAAAACATCTTCTCTAGCTTACTTTATGAAGGATATAGTATACAATACATATACAAAATATGTTACAAAATATGTGTTAATCATCTCATTATGTTACCAGTAAGCCTTTCAGGCATCAATGGGTTATCATTAGTTAAGTTCTTGGGCAGTCAAAAGTTACACGTGGATTTTCCACTGCATGGATGGTTGGCACCCCTAACTTCCTCATTATTTAATAGTCAACTGTAGTTTGAAGACAGTTTCTTTGGGAATATCTCCATGTAATGAGAGTAATCAGTATCATGAGAGGAACTAAAGAAATAGCAAGGTAGGCAAAGACTAATCGTTGCATAGTATGGACCTTCTAAGGAGGTCCCTTTATGCTATGTAAGAATCTTTCTTCTTATGACGGTTTGTATTTTACAGAGCATACATTATACTGTTCCTCTATAAGCCAATGATAATTTTTTTCCTTATCTAAATGATTTTCTATTTTTTCAATAACTCAATCCCATTTAAGTAGGACTATTAGATAACTGGGTTGAAGAGTCATATTTCCTTTAATGTACTAACCATAACTGTGATAGAGCTGATAGTTAAATATGATTATAGCAAAGGCGAGACTACAGTCACAGCTATTTATCAGACATTGCTACCTGGGAACTACAAAACAACCTTTGTTAAAGTGCTGTTTGCTGCTTTTCTTATGTAAAATAAGATACAGTGGTTTCTCTTCTCATTAATAGGCTTCTAGGTTAAAGATAAAGTAGCAATTTTGGTATTAGTTTTATTGAAATAGTTTGTGTATGCACTGATTCCAGTTTTTATTGAATATTTAAACACCTTTGCAAAAATACCTCAGACTTAGTGTATGTGCTACAGAATTGAGCACAAAATTCTCAAACTTGGAGTATAAGCTTTTGTAATACTAAGTTCTTATAAAACCTTAATGAATGTATATGGATTGTCTTATGCATAAAGTAGATATGCAGCAACTTCAACCCTTTAAAACTTTTGAACTTAAAAATAAGAAGAAAACCTTTGGGCCCAAAATAACTGTTTCAATAAGCATGCAAATATATATTTCAGAAAAAATTTAAAAATTGTTTTGGAGGTTCTATGCCTTACAAATACTCCTTATGGTTGATTAGGAGAGAATTTAAAATTTCTGTTTTTTTTTTTGTATTAGTGAGTGTGTTACAGTTTTACAAAGTAATATAGCTTTACTTTTTCTGATAATGAAAGTAATATATGCCAAAGGAGAAAATAGGCCATATTAAAGTCATTAAGGGACCCAAATAAATTATATTACATTCAGAGAAAACTTAACATTTTGGGGCTTACTTTCTCTGACTTTTTTCTTGTGCTCCTATTTACACACAGGCACCTACAGAGTAAGGATGATTGTGTTAAAGGTACTTTGTAACCAGCTCTTTTTCACTTAGTTGTAGTTAGATATCTTTCCATACCAGTAATACATAGCAATACTATTTTGGTTACTGCATGAATGTACTATATGAATATGCTATTTAATCATTCTCATGTTTTCTCTTTCACCATTGAGTGCCAGTGAACAACACTTTTGTCTGTGCCTTCTCTTGATTATTTTTCTAAGATTTAGAGCTGTAAATGTAATGGAGTTTATATAAACTCAGACTGAAATATTGAAGTCCTTAGAATAGGGGTGTTTTTTTAGGATATGACCTTGATAAGGCCAGAAAATGGTGTTTCATAGTGTTAGACTCAAGTGTATCAGAATGTTGTTTGTTGATCATATGCTGAAGTGGTTCCAGAATTGCTACATTGAAGGAATGTAGGGGTAACTATAAATTTGAAAATGTATATTATCTTAGCACACTGAGTGGTGGAGGATCTCATAGAGAAGATGATGAGGATGGCTTCTTTTCCAAAGGAACCTTTGGTAATAGTTGGGGGTAAAATTAGTGACTAAGAAAAAATTATTTAGATTTATAAAACTGATTCCAGTATTACAATACCCTGAGTTGGAAGTCAAAACACAATAAACATTTTATAAATTAAAAATATATTTATATATATGGTTGTTTATGTATAGAAATTGTTTATATATGGGGTGTTCATACTATGAAAAAAAATCACTAATGTCCCTAATTGTGAAGCTATTTTGGTTATCAGGACAAAGTAATAATGATGTAGAAATTTCTTGACATTTTTTTACTTGAAGATTAATAGGGGGTATAGTTTTTCTATAAACTTAAAACTTGTCATGAAATCGTTTACGTGATTAAAAAGGTATATATAATACAGATAATCTGCAGGAATTATTTTATTTTTCTGAATCAATTATGTATAGTCTGTTTAATTATTTTTCTTCATTAAAAATCTATCCAATTATTTGACATCATTGACATTGTTTACAACCTGCCTTTTCTCATACTCCCCATTGTACTATCTCTTTTTTACTGTACTTTATTTTTTTCACATTGCTTAATTTGCTTTAGTAATTTCAGTGAATCTTCTCACAATATATCCTTGAAAGGAGATAACAATGTTTTAAAATTCTTCAGCCCTGAGCACAATGTCCTGTGTATATGGCAGATCCTCCTGTTACATTGAATGACAGCTCAAGCATGTTTTTTCCTCTGTTAACAGTGGTCACGTAAGCTTTCTTTCGCTGTAGCATTTATCCTCTGTAATTTCTTTTAATAGAGTATATGGGGACCAGATTTTTCCTTCTTCTATTTATGAAAATAATTGCTAAGCTGTCCATGCGTAATTTTATACAAGAATAAATATCACATTAATGAATTATTTTTATTTACTTCATTGAATGAAGTCTTATTCTGTGGGACTAAGATCAGAAAAAATATCTCCCTCAGTCTGTATGATTTCTGGGGCTTTTATCTAAATGTTTATAGGACTTTATTTCCATTCTTTTTCCATGTTCTTTTTTTTCATTTCATGTATCTGCCATAGTAATTCTTAGACTTGAGTAATGGACAGTAAGAAATCTGACTGCCTGTGCTGACTTATTTTTTTAAAATGTTAATGTTCAAATTACATAAAATTAGATATAAGCCACTTATGATTAAAGCTCATGTAACAATTATAAATTGAAAGTAAATTAATAAATAAGACCACTAACTTAATAAAATTTAAGTCAGAAACAATGATGTTGTCATGGATGATATTTTGTTATAAATATCACTGAAATATGAAAATGGTGGTAGGGTTAGATTCTTCGGAGCAGTATTAGGGAGTGTGAAATGAACCTATACTGTGGGTGTGCCTTGGGATGGTCAGGAGTCCCTCCTGTAAATTTTTAAGCAATTGCAAACCCTTTTTAAAAACTTTGATTTGTTTGTATAGTACAGTGTAATGTATATTTGGTCATCATTTGGTGTGAATTCATTATATATTATTAAGTTTGTCTCTCCTAACTCATTAATTTGCTCTGCAACTGAAGCTGAAAGACTTGGGCCTAACACAGTTCAGCCTCAGAGTGGGGCTGCATTCGCTTTCTTATAGTAACTCAGTAATTCCAGATTCATATTACATAATGTTAATATATTAGGTTTTAAATTTTTTAAATTACTGAGGAAATAAAAAAATTACAAAAATATTAAAGAGAACTGCTGTTTCCTGGAGTACATTTGTGAGTTTCGATTTGGAAACAGTGATCTAACATCACTCATAGTTATTCTTAAATAATGCCATCTGAACATTAAAAATCCTAAAACCATGGCTTTTTCAGTAATCTGCTGAGACTATCATAGTGTGAGTAATATTGGCAAATGTCAACTAGAATAGAAGAATTGAGATTTTTGTTACCTTCAGTTTTAGGGTATTATTGTTAAATTCATAAAATTTATGGTATAATTGGTAAGCATAATTCTATTTTATATAAATATATAATTTTAATTGCAGTATAATTTTTACATTTTTTTGTTAGCATTGATAGTTGTGAAATTTAAAATAGATATGTCTGTCTTGAAATTAGCTGTTATGAAATTCTAGGATGTGTATGTGTGTGTGTGTTTTTTAAGACTTTATTTTCTAAAAGCAGTTTTAGGTTTGCAGTAGAATTGAGAGGAAGGTACAGAGATTTCAGCAATGCCCACCAGAGTGGTAATTTGTTACAGTTGATGAACTTATGTTGACATGCCATTATCACTATAAAAGTCCAGTTTACTTTAGGAATTACTTTCGGTGTTCTACATTCTGCAGGTTTTGACAAATGTGTAAGAACATGTATCCATCATTAATGGGATCATATGCAGTATTTTCATTGCCCTAAATATCCCTAGTGCTCCATCTCTTTATCCCTACCCTCCACCTGATCCTGATCAACCAGTGATCTTTTTTACTGTCTCCATAGTCCTCCCGTTTCCAGAATGTCATGTTGGTATCACACAGTATGCATTATTTTCAGATTGGCTTTCTTCACTTCATAATATGCATTTCAGTTTCCTCCATATCTTTTCATAGCTAAATTTCTTTTTAGTGCTGAATAGTATTCCATTGTATGATACCATAGTTTATCCATTCATCTACTGAAGGATATCTTGGTTGCTTCCAAGTTTTGGCAGTTATGAATAAAGCTACTAGAAATTTCCATGTATAGGTTTTTGTGTGGGCATAAGTCTCCTCCTTTGACTAAGTACTAGGAAGCATAATTGCTAGGTCATACAGTAAGAGTATGTTTAGTTTTGTAAGAAACTGTCACACTGTCTTCCAGATTGTCAAGCATACACCAAACTGTCTTCCATAGTGGCTGTACCATTTTGCATTCCCACCAGCAATGAATGAGAGTTCCTGTTATTCCACATCCTCATCAGCATTTGGTGTTGCCAGTGTTCTGGATTTTGGCCATTCTAGGTGTGTAGTGGTATGTCGTCGTTTTAATTTGCATTTCCCTGATGACATATGATGTGGAACATCTTACAATATGTTTGTTTTGCCTCTGTACGTCTTCTTCGATGCGATGTCTGTGAAAGTCTTTGGCAGACATATTTTAATGGGGCTGTTTATTTTCTTACTGTTTACTTTTAAGAGTTCTTTTTGTATTTTGGTAAATCCTTTATCATATGGGTCTTTTTCTCTGTCTTGTGTCTCATTTCCCTTGCAGTTGTCTTTTGCACAGCAGAAGTTTTTAATTTTAATAAAGTCCAAATTATCAATTATTTATTTCATGGATCATGCCTTTGGTGTATCTAAAAAGTCACTGTCATACCCAAGGTCACCTAGGTTTTCTTCTTTATTATCTTCTAGGAGTTTTATAGTAACCAACAGTCTGTTGTCAACATTTATGGCTCTATTTCTTTTTTGTTGTTGTTGTTTTTGTTTTTTAGGTTCCACATGTAAGTGAAATCATATGGTACTTGTCTTTCTCTATGTGACTTAATGATACTGCCTAGGTTCATCCACATTGTCAAAAATGGCAATATTTCCTTTTTTATAGCTGAGTAATATTCCATTGTGTATCTGTACCACATCTTTATCCATTCATCTACTAATGGACATTTGGGTTGCTTCATATCTTGGCTGTTAAAAATATTCCTGCAGTGAACATAGGTGTGCATATATTTTTTTCGCATTGGTGATTTTGTTCTCTTTGTATAAATTTCCAGAATTGGAATTGGGGGGTCATATGATATTTCTGTTTTTACTTTTTTGAGGAGCCTCTATATTGTTTTCTATAGTGGTGGGACCAATTTCCATTCCCACAAGCAGTGTAGGAGCATTCCCTTTTCTCCATATCCTTGTCAACAGTTGGTTTTTCTTTTTTTTTTTCTATATCATATATCCCAGTGCTTATTATCTGCACTGGAGAATTTAATTATCTTATTACATTTGAATTTCTTTACATCCTTTACTTTACACAGCTGTCTTCATATTAATCTTTTTTGTTTTCTTGAATTTTTTTTTTTACATTTTTTTTTTTGTTAAGGTATGATTGATATACACTCTTATGAAGGTTTCACATGAAAAAACAATGTGGTTACTACATTTACCCAAATTGCCAAGTCCCCACCCATACCCCAGTGCAGTCACTGTCCATCAGTGTAGTAAGATGCCACAGATCCACTATGTGCCTTCTCTGTGCTACACTGTTCTTCCCATGATCCCCCACACCATGTGTACTAAACATAATACCCCTCAAACCCTTCTCCCTCCCTCTCTCCCTACCTGCCTTCCCACACTCCTCCCCTTTGGTAACCACTAGTTCATTCTTGGAGTCTCCGAGTCTGCTGCTATTTTCCTCCTTCAGTTTTGCTTCATTGTTATACTCCACAAATGAGGGAAATCGTTTGGCATTTGTCTTTCTCCACCTGACTTATTTCACTGAGTATAATGTCCTCCAGCTCCATCCATGTTGTTGCAAATGGTAGGATTTGTTTCTTTCTTATGGCCGAATAGTATTCCATTGTGTATGTATACCACATCTTCTTTATCCATTCATCTACTGATGGACACTTAGGTTGCTTCCATATCTTGGCTATTGTAAATAGTGCTGCGACAAACATGGGGGTGCATATGTCTTTTTGAATCTGAGAAGTTGTATTCTTTGGGCAAATTCCAAGGAGTGGGATGCCTGGGTCAAGTGGTATATCTATTTTAGTTTTTTGAGGAACCTCCATATTGCTTTCCATAATGGTTGAACTAGCTTACATTCCCATCAGCAGTATAGGAGGGTTCCCCTTTCTCCATATCCTCGCCAGCATTTGCTGTTCTTAGTCTTTTCAATGCTGGCCATCCTTACTGGTGTGAGGTGATATCTCATTGAGGTTTTAATTTGCATTTCCCTGATGATTAGTGATATGGAGCATCTTTTCATGTGTCTATTGGCCATCTGAATTTCTTCTTTGGAGAACTGTCTTTTCATATCCTCTGCCTGCAAATAAAAATCGGGTTATTTGCTTTTTGGGTGTTGAGGCATGTAAGAAGTTCTTTATGTATTTTGGATGTTAACCCCTTGTCAGATATATCATTTACAAATATATTCTCCCGTACTGTAGGATGCCTTTTTGTTCTGTTGATGGTGTCCTTTGCTGTACAAACTTTTAAGTTTGATGTAATCCCATGAGCTCATTATTGCTTTTGTTTCCCCTGCTCGATGAGATGCATTCAGGAAGAAGTTACTCATTCTTATATTCAGGAGATGTTTGCCCATGTTGTCTTCGAAGAGTTTTATGGGTTCAGGACTTACATTCAAGTCTTTGATCCATTTCAAGTTTACCTTTGTGTATGGGGTTAAACAATAATCCAGTTGGATTCTCTTGCATGTAGCTGTCCAGTTTTGCCAACACCAGCTTTTGAAGAGGCTGTCATTTTCCCATTGTATATTTATTGCTCCTTTATCATATGTTAATTGACCATATATAGTTGGGTTTATATCAGGGTTCTCTAGTCTGTTCTATTGGTCTATGGGTCTGTTCTTGTGCCAGTACCAAATTGTCTTGATTACTGTGGCTTTGTAGTGGAGCTTGAAGTTGGGGAGCATAATGCCCCTAGCTTTATTCTTCCTTCTCAGAATTGCTTTGGCTATTCGAGGTCTTTTGTGGTTTCATATGAATTTTAGAACTATTATCTCTAGTTCATTGAAGAATGCTGTTGGTATTTTGATAGGAATTGAATTGAATTTATAGATTGCTTTAGGCAGGATGGTAATTTTGACAATATTAATTCTTCCTATCCATGAGCATGGCATGTGTTTCCATTTATTGGTGTCTTCTTTAATTTCTCTTAAGAGTGTCTTGTAGTTTTCAGAATATAGGTCTTTCACTTCCTTGGTTAGGTTTATTCCTAGGTATTTTATTCTTTTTGATGCAATTGTGAATGGAATCGTTTTCCTGATTTCTCTCTCTGCTAGTTCATTGTTAGTGTATAGGAATGCCACAGATTTCTGTGTGTTAATTTTGTATCCTGCAACTTTGCTGAATTCCAATATTAGTTCTAGTAGTTTTGGAGTGGATTCTTTGGGGTTTTTTATGTACAACATCATGTCATCTGCAAACAGGGACAGTTTAACTTCTTCCTTGCCAATCTGGATGCCTTTTATTTCTTTGTGTTGTCTGATTGCTGTGGCTAGGACCTCCAGTACTTTGTTGAATAACAGTGGGAAGAGTGGGCATCCCTCTCTTGTTCCCGATCGCAGAGGAAAAGCTTTCAGCTTCTTGCTGTTCAGTATGATGTTGGCTGTGGGTTTGTCATAGATGGCCTTTATTATATTGAGGTACTTGCCCTCTATACCCATTTTGTTGAGAGTTTTTATCATGAATGGATGTTGAATTTTGTCGAATGCTTTTTCAGCATCTATGGAGATGATCATGTGGTTTTTGTCTTTCTTGTTGATGTGGTGGATGATGTTGATGGATTTTCGAATGTTGTACCATCCTTGCATCCCTGGGATGAATCCCACTTGGTCATGGTGTATGATCCTCTTGATGTATTTTTGAATTCGGTTTGCTAATATTTTGTTGAGTATTTTTGCATCAGTTCATCAGGGATATTGTTCATCAGGGATATTGGTCTGTAGTTTTCTTTTTTGGTGGGGTCTTTGCCTGGTTTTGGTATTAGGGTGATGTTGGCTTCATAGAATGAGTTTGGGAGTATTCCCTCCTGTTCTACTTTTTGGAAATCTTTAGGGAGATTGGGTATTAGGTCTTCACTAAATGTCTGATAAAATTCAGCAGTGAAACCATCTTGTCCAGGAGTTTTGTTTTTAGGTAGTTTTTTGATTACCAATTCAATTTCTTTGCTAGTTTTCTGTTTCTTCCTGGGTCAGCCTTGAAAGGTTGTATTTTTCTAGAAAGTTGTCCATTTTTCTAGGTTGTCTGGTTGTTACCATATAATTTTTCATAGTATTCTCTCATAATTCTTTTTATTTCTGTGGTGTCCATTTGTGATTTTTCCTTTCTCATTTCTGATTCTGTGTATGTATTTAGACTCTCTTTTTTTCTTAATAAGTCTTGCTAGGGTTTTATCTATTTTGTTTATTTTCTCAAATAACCGCTTCTGCTTTCATTGATTCTTTCCATTGTTTTATTCTTCTCTATTTTATTTATGTCTGCTTTAATCTTTATTATGACCCTCCTTCTGCTGACTTTGGGCTCATTTGTTCTTCTTTTTCTAGTTTCATTAATTGTGAGTTTAGGCTGCTTATATGGGATTCTTCTTTCCTGAGGCAGGCCTGTATTGCCATATACTTTCCTCTTAGCACGGCCTTAGCTGCATCCCACAGATTTTGTGGTGTTGAATTATTGTTGTCATTTGTCTCCATATATTGCTTGATCTCTGTTTTTATTTTGTCATTGATCCATTGGTTATTTAGGAGCATGTTTTGAAGCCTTCATGTGTTTGTGGGATTTTTCATTTTATTTGCATAATTTATTTCTAATTTCAGACTTTTGTGATCTGAGAAACTGGTTGGTACAATTTCAGTCTTTTTGAATTTACTGAGGCTCTTTTTGTAGCCTAGTATATGATCTATTCTTGAAAATGTTCCATGTGCACTTGAGCAGAATGTGTATTCTGCTGCGTTTGGGTGTAGAGTTCTGTAGATGTCTGTTAGGCCCATGTGTTCTAATGTGTTGTTCAGTGCCTCTGTCTCCTTACGTATCTTCTGTCTGATTGATCTGTCCTTCAGAGTGAGTGGAGTGTTGAAGTCTCCTAGAATGAATGCATTGCATTCTATTTCCCCTTTTAATTCAGTTAGTATTTGTTTAACATATGTAGTTGCTCCTGTGTTGGGAGCATAGATATTTATAAAGGTTACATCTTCTTGTTGGATTGACCCCTCTATAATTATGTAATGTCCTTCTTTGTTTCTTGTGACTTTCTTTGTTTTGAAGTCTTATTTTGTCTCATACAAGTAC